TTGCAGTATTTATGATAGGGGCTCTAAAATGAAAATGGTTTGAGGTTTTTACAGGTACGAATGATAATACGACTCTGATATGTGAAGATAAAATCTTGAACTGTGTGGATTTCTATTTCTTAGAAGAAGAAGAAGAAGAAGAAGAAGAAGAAGAAGAAGAAGAAGAAGAAGAAGAAGAAGAAGAAGAAGAAGAAGAAGAAGAAGAAGTCACTCACTGCCTCAGTTCCACTCTCTCGGCCCCCCAGGTGACCCCTCCTTTAGGTGCATTTTGCAAACACGAGGTTTGGGTGAAGAAAGACTCCACCCAGGTTGTTCTTGACTTTTTGAGAAAATTTAAAGGGACATTATGGAAGTTTGACAGCCAAAACATGTATAGAAATAATAATTTTTTTCTTCATACATTCTCCTGCAATGCCCTGGTCCTGTAGAATGAGCCCTGGCATTTTTACTGTGATTGCCTGTTTTTCTGTAAAATCACAGAAAAAGAGAGCTGCTCGGGTCGAGTAGGCTGCTTCATGCGCGTTCACGCTCAGGCATCGCCCGTAGCATTTGCTATCAGTAGCTTTAGCATCAGAGAGTGAGGTAGCGCCAACTCAGCGACTTTGTCGCTGTTCCTAACGCCTAGTGATGAACCTAGCTACATTTCTTAGGACCCTTAGCTACTTTTTTCTAGATATTTCCTGCAAATTAGCAACAAAATAGCCATTTTTGCTTCAAACCGTTTTTTGGTTTGACATTGTTTCAGCTGTCATAAGGATATAAAAGTTACAGATACTGTGAATGTTACTAGAGTGTAGCTCACCTTGTAAGATGTCTGACTCCCATGCAGAAGACCTGGGTTTGATTCTGGATGTGAACATAGTTCATTTAGAGTTTCTTTTTTACATTAATGGTATTTTTTTACAGTAAGATGCCCAAATTTTTATTTGAGACTCGCCGAACGGCATTGCATTCACAGATAAAAAAGATGTGGGTTCAACTTTCATTTTGGAACAAATTTTCAAGCAAAGGGAAGGGAATGATCTGAGCATGCAGGAGGACTGACCCATCATAAACCTTTGTCGGCTGTGCTGAAGAGAAAGGTACAGAACCAAATTATTTTATTAATTAGCTGCGCGTTCTCCTGTCCTCTGTCCTCCGGGCCACACACACACACACGGGACTGTCTCAGCTGTTATTTTTGTTAAGGAGTGTGCACGTACAGCATGCGCGCCTCGTGCACGAGCCTACAATTGAAGCTGCCATTACGCTTTTGGCCTGAGGGGGCAATCGCGAGCATAAAAATTCAAAAGTCCGTAAAGTCCCTTTAAAGAAAAGGGTTAGGGTAAGTTTTTGTCTAAATAAAGGTGATGTTATTGTTCATAGAAGAAAAATTCATGTTGAAGTTCAGATTATTTTGTCATGTGTGGTTAGGTGGTTCATTAAAACATGTCATGTTTTTAGATCCTGCCTCTTGAAAGAATTAGAAATTGATAAGAATAGGAATCAAAACGGGAAATTGGAATCGGAACCGGATTTGCTCAAATTCAAACGAAGCCCAACACTAGCCAAGGGGTGGGTACCAATTTAAACTCAGTGGTGAGAAAGTCAGGCATAAAGCATGAGTTAATCTAGTGGGTAAGCATGTGTAAAATGAGTCAATTTGTGCCTCTGAAAACTTAAAGTGCACAAAACTGATCGAACCTTTTGTTCTCCTGCTTTCAAACATTTGTTTTTCCATGGATGCATAAATACAGTGGTCACAGGTGAAGGGCACATCCATCACTAAACAGAGCTATGCTATTAGCCTTACGTTATGCAATGCTAATGTTCCTCCCCAGGCAGTTGACAGCGGTCAACATTGAGATTAACAATCTAACTCAAATATAGGATTGGCTGTGCCAGTAAGAAAACATCTAACAAGGAAGCTCTGATTCGGTGACGAGATATAACTTCCACATCTTGTTAGTTTTTCTTGCTGTGTTTTCTCCTTGCAGGTATGATTAGGTTGACACTGGCGGGTTCCGTGTTTGCATTTACTCACTAAATTCATGTGTTAATAAGGAAATCTCCCTCAGGACATGCTGCTGTCCCAGTCTTTATGTGTTCTAACAGCCTTTCTTATTTACTCTGTCTCCTACTGGACACGGCACTACACGCACTAATAACACCGTGAGAACTTTCTGTGATGTTTAGTGGGCCACTTGAAGCGTGACACCCTGGACAGGTCTGCAGCTCATCACAGGGACACATGAAGTCAAACAACCATTCACACTCACACCTAAGGACAGATTAGAGTGATCCTGACCCTGCATGTCTTTTGTCCCTGTACGAAGAAACTGGTGTAGCCATAAATGGACCCATTCATGCACGGGGACACATGAACATGAGGACGCTGCACAGAAAGGTTTTGAACCTTTAACCCCTATGGGATTAATAAAGTATCTTTGATTTGATTGATTTGATTTAAAACCACTTATTTAATCTAGAAAGTGATCATGCCATCTATGATATTTGTTTAATATCAATATCAATATTGTTCCCAGTAATTATTTAATTGTTCCTCTTGACACAAGCAGTTTCCCACAGGCTATTTATGTATGACAGCTATTTAGCACCCTGTGGTTAAATATAATTATTAGAAGAACATTTAACATCAGATTTCTGCCTTACTTTTATGTCAGAACTTAACAAATTCAACAAAAAAATTAATATATTTGATGAAGTGTAACAATTCCACTTGTGTATTTCCTACTGCGACAGGGATAAGTGCACTCTATCAAAATCTCTTTTGGACTGTTTGGGAGACGGCAGATCCTGGATGGGTTTACATTTCCCGAACTTTAATGAGAAGAAGACTTGGGTTATACATTTTAAAATAGTGAAAGGAGTTTGTTCAACCACTACTGTGACATTGCTTTGCTGGTCCTGTATGAAAAGGCAGTTGTCACTGACCTTGGGTTACAATGAGATACTGCTCTCAAAATGGAAGAGCAACTTGTGCTTCTTTCAGTTCACTCCACTCTCTAGGTTGAGATCCCTGTTGTCCTGAGCATTCAGAGACTGCTTGACTGGACAAGCCTTTCTTACTGTTTCTTAAACTAAATTATTATCTCAGAGTGATTGGGCATTCTCAGGGATGGGTCCAACCTTCTGGAACAGTCTACCGTTGGCCATCAGACAAGCTTCACCATTCCAATAATTTAAGTGTAAACTATATTTTACTCACCAGCCTTCAGCACTGTGCTAATGAAGGCTATATCCCTTGAATATTTTATGATATTGTCTGTATCTTAATATTCAGTGATTTAACATTCTACACCTTCACGGGTGAAGAAAGCACCTTTATAAAAATTGGTTGGTTGGTTGGTTGGTTGGTTGGTTGGTTGGTTGGTTGGTTGGTTGGTTGGTTGGTTGGTTGGCAGTGTTGGGCAAGCTACTTCAAAACTGTAATGCATTATTTATTACTTGTTACCCTCATTCATTACGTTACAATATAACTGATTTTAAAATGAAAGGCATTACACTACTTTTGCATTACTCTAAGTTACTTTCAACAAAACAACTTCAGTATGAGTTTGGTAATCTGATGCCTGGTGAACTCATGACACATCCGGTGGAAGGTGATGTGGTGTCTGAGCTAGGACTGCTGTTAAAAACAGTTCTTTAGAAGGATTGTTTATTTAATAATTGCAACAACAACCTGTACTCTCAGCACGCTGCCATCTTAGATTAACTGAACAGGGAGTGAGGTGGTGGGGGCTCCAAGTCTGTTTAGCCTTGGTCCCCAAATGCCTTGATACGGCCCTGGATGTGGGACTGACTTCTGGGGTGATCTGATTCTATCACATGTATAAATATTAAATGCTTATATATTATTGCTTTTCACTGGTAAAAATGTGTATTAGGGATAAATCTACCTACCTTTTTTCTTTTCAAGCACTGTTTTGTTTTCTTGATTTTGTTTGAATAATTTCCTGCCCTTTCTCTCTAACCTCCCTGCAAGCTGCATGTTTTCTCCGTCTTCCAGAAAAACTGTTTCCTAGATTTCCTACTTTCTAACTAATCAGCCAAAGGGATCTTCACATGCGCGGCGCTCCAGCAGCAATGAGTTGAAATCATCGGGGTACAGATTATGAACTCAGCTGAAGCAAAGCTCGTCAGAAAAGTACAGAATACCAGAGAACACGCGCTGATATGAACGATCACAGGTGAATTATTTTGTTTTAGTGGAGCGATTTTGTGTATGTTACAGCGGCCACATGCTGGACGCAGTTGGAGTTCTTGAGCTGTTGCCGCTGCATCCTCTCTGCCCGCAAAGCTGAGTCCGTGAATGACGTCATATATGCAGATACTGGATCTTTTTTCGGGTTTCCCACAATTAGAATTTTTAAGAAACGCATCTTGATTCTGGGTTTAAAAATGCATTGTAATTACTGCGTTATTGACAATTGTACCGAGTAAATATTACCATTTTCTTTCCCTGTAATGCCTTACATTACCACATTACAGCAAAAAGCAACGCATTACAGTAATTAATTACTTTTGTACCGCGTTACTCCCATCACTGTTGGTTGGTTGGTTGGTTGGTTGGTTGGTTGCTTGCTTGGTTGCTTTGTTTGTTGGTTGGTTGGTTGCTTGCTTGGTTGGTTGGTTGGTTGCTTTGTTTGTTGGTTGCTTGCTTGCTTGCTTGGTTGCTTTGTTTGTTGGTTGGTTGGTTGGTTGGTTGGTTGCTTGGTTGCTTTGTTTGTTGGTTGGTTGGTTGGTTGGTTGCTTGCTTGCTTGGTTGCTTTGTTTGTTGGTTGGTTGGTTGCTTGCTTGGTTGGTTGGTTGGTTGCTTTGTTTGTTGGTTGGTTGGTTGGTTGGTTGGTTGCTAGGTTGCTTTGTTTGTTAGTTGGTTGGTTGCTTTGTTTGTTGGTTGCTTGGTTGCTTTGTTTGTTGGTTGGTTGTTTGGTTGGTTGGTTGCTTTGTTTGTTGGTTGGTTGGTTGCTTGGTTGCTTTGATTGTTTGTTGGTTGGTTGCTTGCTTGCTTTGATTGTTGGTTGGTTGGTTGCTTGCTTTGTTTCTTAGTTGATTGGTTGAAAAATAACTGTTGAAAACAAATTAAGTTGGGACCAAGATGAGCCTGTGAACAGCAGTAACAGCTGATTGAAGCACTTCCACGGCATTATAGGGCACCTCTCGTGGAATTTCATAATATTTAGAGCCAGAAAAACCATGCAATGCAAGTTTGAAATGAATATTAAGGTTTGGATATTAGCATTGCTTCAGGAATACAAGAAAAAGAAAGAGATGGATATTTGGATCCATCATGTAATGATGGAAGTTTAAAGCAAAAGTCAAAAACTGCTGATGAGCTCATGGATGAAGGTGCCACAGCAAACAGGATGCTGAGTCCGGGTTTACCATCATTGATGTGGAGTGAGATAAACAGATGCTTATAGGTGTTAATCCTAGTAGTGGGATGTCTCTGTCATTCAGTGCCATTATCAACTTTTCCTCCTCCCCTGCCTTTGTTTGTTTTTTCTTCCAACATAAAAGGAGCTAGAGAAGAACAAGACAGAGCATCCATCAGACAATTCCAAAGCAGCAGAACCTTCAGCTTTCTAAACGTAAGATGTCCTTTTTTAATGAAATATACCTTTACAATCCTAATATGGTTATTATTCAACCACTACTTCACGAGTCAATAGAGTGTGTGGACTTTAAATTCAGTAGTGTTTCTATGTGCAGCAGCTTTAATCTACCATGTCTACTATTGAAGATCTGAGCATGAAGATGGGGGGAATAGTCCCTTTTGGTCAACCTGAACATTTTATGTTTCTGATTACTCCTTTATTTACTTGCATGTTTGTGAAGCTCATTTCTCTGCTTGATGGAAAATGCGTATTAGCTGGTAAGTTTTGTCTTCCAGCTTTTGTCATCTGTGAGGAAGCCTCCAATATGCTCGTGCTCCTGCTTTATTTGGGCTCGCTCATCGCGCTCTCAGGTAATCTGCTGACGCTGAGAATTATTTATATTGTTTACTCGAGTAAAAGTAAAAACAACTCATGAAAACTGTTATTCATTTGTGACCCAAGTATTCTTTGTGTATGAGACTGAATTTAAATGAGGGTGCTACTGGGATTGGAGTGTTTGGAGACAATTATATTCAGGCACTCCTATCATGCATGACATAAATGTTGATTAACCTCAGTGAAGGAATCTGCAGGATTAAAGGGACACACTGTTGGCTCCCCCAGTCAAGTTCACCAGTTCCTCTGGCGGGATCTCAAGTCGTTCCCAGGATAGCCTTGAAATACACAGGTGCAAGTTTTTAAAACTAGCGGAGACACTTATTTTATTTATGTATATAAAAGTATTAGTTTGCCGTTTAATTACATTGCACTCATCAGTGTATCGACAGGTGTTTAAAATCAACGCTTTATTCAATAAATAAAAGTTAAAAAGTCAGGATTGATCCCACAGCAGTTAGATGATGAACACCTAACCTCTGGACCACAGCTCCACTTTCAAGCATGCTCAGTAAAAAAAAAAACTGTGTCAGGTTTGGGTTAACTCCATATTCCCTCATCAGAGCCAAGCTGTCCGTGATAGTTGCAGTAGGACCATCCGAGAGGACAAACAGATATTTGCCTAAACTGTGCTGTAAGTGCAGCCCTAACAGTAAAACCATGTGTGACCAGTTTGTTCTGTTAGGGTTAGGGTCCCCTGAATTCTACGATTTATTGTTTATTCAGGGATTGTGAACACGTCGTTTTGATTCAAGAAAGAGTCAGGTTTGTAAAAGTAAGAATTTATTTTACAAACAATTAAAACATGACAAGTTAACCAATATTTACTGTGATGGATGGATCTAGATGGAGGAGATGTGGTATATGGTGTCTATGTGTGAATATGATGTTATCAGAACCTTCGTATCTAGGAAAGCTGAGTGGGTGTAAAAGAATTTGGTTTGCGTTAAGCTATGAAGTTGATTCTTATCAAAAGGCATCAGACGCTATCTGTGCGTCTACTTCACCCGTTCTTGGAGACCCCCGTTTGGATCCGAGATGTCAAGGAGCCGATGACCCTAATGCACATGGTTCGTAGAGAAACCCTCGATGCGACCAAGTCAGTCCTGAGTTGCCTCCGGGTCACACGATAGATGAAATTGGTTGCGTCTTAGAGCAGCTGCTTCTGAGTAGCTGAAGGAGCAAGTTGCTTTGTTCTGAAGGAACAGGTTTGTCTGTGTCAGCTTTGCAGCAACCTTGACGGCGTGTGAAAGATTGCTTTTGGGTTAAAGAGACTTCACTACAGACGGCCATTTCTGTAGCTTCCTCTAGAACTGACTCACCGTAAAGTGAGTTCTGTTTTTATGTTCTCATATTAATTTCTTAAAGAGCAAGTCACCCCCAAATCAACTTTTTTTTCCTGATAAACCATATAAACGCGTGTCTAATAGTGCTGCAGACACGTCAATAGTTTTGAACTTTGATGCATTTTAGTTAAAATTTTAATTTTCTGCCTAAAACTGTCAGTGTTGTGCTCGTTGTCAAGTAAAAACACTGCAATGCATTTGAATTTAAATCTGCCATTGCTGTTGGCTAAGAGGTACCCTAGGACGTTAGCTGGTACATTATGATGTCGCAATGTCATTGTGAGCCTGTGTGTGTGTATTTGTTAGCGGCTCCACCCCCTCGGTCAGCCAGGCAACAACATTTGTTGCATTTTTCAAACAGGAAGTGGAATAAAACTCAGGTAGGGGGTGACTTGCTCTTTAACAAATCAGAGCATGCCATGTTAAGGGATATTACCAAGAATCTCAGAAACACACACCTTTCAGATACAGAGGTTCTGATTTGTGGGTAAGAAAATATCTACGTGTCACGCGTTTGACTTGACTTGACTTTATGCTTGATGAACCTTGTGTGAGTGTGGATGGTGATGGCCTTGTCATATCAAAACATTACTGATCCATACATAAATTCATTTCACAGATTAATCAAAACATTTCATTTAATGTTCGTATAACATTTGTCCATCAACCTAATTATTCTTTAATGATTAATTAACCTATAAGATTTAAATGTTCACATTATATTTAAGCGTTCATTCTTTGATTAAGCAACTCATACAAGCTGAGAGCGTTCACTTTATTTAGAGGCATGAAGAGTCCTGTAGAACGACAAGGGAAGCTTGAGGTCTTGAGGAGGGAAAGTGATTGTTGACAATACGTTATCATGTGTTCAGAGCTGCAGAGAGGCTCCAGACTCCAGCTGATGGGATGCAGGATCCGGTAGATTAAAGGAAACACATGCAGACTCGTGTCTCCATGTCGACCAGATATTGAAGGGTCAAACTGTACTTAAAAACTGACCATTACCAGACATTACACTGATATAAATGGATTTCACACCATTTTCGTGTTTCTCCTGTAAAGCCTGATTCATGCTTCTGCGTCAGTGCGGAGACACGCAACGCCGTTATCCGTCCTTGCGGGCCTGCTGGAGTGATCCACAAGGATGGACGAAGTCAAGCTCTCTTTTCTAAACATCCATCCATCAAGACGGACAACGCAAGCTTGTGATTGGTCAGGATGCAGCTGTCGTCTACACCGTCGCCATTGCACCCTCAAAACATAAACAGAGCCGAGGATAACTAGCGGCAGACACGGAGAAGCTTGAAGAATACCTCGCGAAAAAACTTAAAAAACATGAACGTTTAATGCCCCCGTGACTGGAGGAGTGAGAAGATGCACAGCAAGCCTTTTATTTGTGGACGGAAATGACGGGAAACGTGGGTTTGGAGGTGGTGAGCGCATGTAGAGGCGGAGGAGGATGAGAGACAAATTTGTCTGTTAAAAAGTCTCTTATATACAAAAAAAACACAATATAAACACACTATCTTGGACCGATACATGACAGGATACCACAGAACAGTGCTACGCCCTCTGCTGTCCTGGTGGGGAATTGCTTGTCAGGAGACAGAGAAGTATGAGAGCAAAACGTTTCCGTCAATCCGTGCGGGTCTGTCCCTTGCCGAGCTGACAGAGAAGCATGAATCAGGCTTGATTCCTCCAGCGTGTCCAGGGTCAGCCCTGAATTACATTTCTAAAACATTTATCCTGGTAAGCATCCAGGGGTAGAAGGTGTAATGTGTCCTCACAAGGCGAGTTGTGCTAATGGTCTCTCTCTCTCCCCCTTCCCTCTCCTTCTCTCTCTCTCTCTCTCTCTCTCTCTCTCTCTCTCTCTCTCTCTCTCTCTCTCTCTCTCTCACACACACACACACACACACACACACACACACACACACACACACACACACACACACACACACTGAACATAAAGAGGAGCAGCTTGTTTCCTGTGCAGGGAAAGTTTGTCCTTTGGGCTTTGACTGCATCAGTGTAAACGGCGTTCTTCAGTGTGCCGACCCCTGTTACCAGAACTCTGTACTGAATGATGCCTGGCGTTCTGTGGATAACACAAACAACAACCCAGTGCACTGTGACCAGAATATTAACTGGGATGGCTGGTATCGGTTCTATCTGGGCCAAGCTGATGCTCACATTCCCCAAAAGTGTGTAGCAGAGCAAAGGTGTGGAACCCACGCTCCTTTGTGGATCACAGAACCTCACCCCACACAGATGAATCAAGTAGTAAATCGCACCGTGTGTAGCGCCTGGAGTGGTTCCTGCTGCCTATTTCCCACCCACACCATCCAAGTGAAGCTCTGCTCCGGATACTATGTCTATAAACTTGGAAAGCCATCAGTGTGCTACCTTGCATATTGCGCAGGTAATGTTTGTTTTATTTATCTTTAATAAGTAGCAAATAATTCTGCCTTCTTTTCCAGTCCAGTCATTTCAGTGCCATCTTGCTGAGCTTTAATTAGTGTAAAAAGACCCGTTACTTGCTTTAGTGGCGGTGCTGCAACACTCAATGTCAACAAGAAAGAAATCCATTTGATAATGAGCACAATTTCAAATGTTAAAGACCAAGTTCACTGATGCATTTTAATTTGAAATATGATTAATCACCCTCAGTTTACCGTGAAGGCTAAGCATGAAAATATAGAAAATAGTCGTTTAAATGTCAGCTCTGGAAAAGCCGCACAAATTGACACATTCATGAACTCATCTTGGCTGGTGATGGGAAAGGTTTTTGTTGTTTTAGCCTCCAGGAGAAAACAGAGTGCTTCTCGGCTAGTAGAAGTTAACCGTTAGCATTAGCACCTTCACCACAGACTCCTCTAGGCTCGTGATAGGGAAGGCTGTTGTTGTTTTAGCCTCCAGGAGAGAACAGAGTGCTTCTCGGCTACAAGAAGTTAACCGTTAGCATTAGTACCTTCACCACAGACTCCTCTAGGCTCGTGATGGGAAAGGCTGTTGTTGTTCTAGCCTCCAGGAGAAAACAGAGTGCTTCTCGGCTAGTAGAAGCTAACCGTTAGCATTAGCACCTCCACCACAGACTCCTCTAGGCTCGTGATGGGGAAGGCTGTTGTTGTTTTAGCCTCCAGGAGAAAACAGAGTGCTTCTCGGCTAGTAGAAGCTAACCGTTAGCATTAGCACCTCCACCACAGACTCCTCTAGGCTCGTGATGGGGAAGGCTGTTGTATTTTTAGCCTCCAGGAGAGAACAGAGTGCTTCTCGACTAGTAGAAGCTAACCATTAGCATTAGCACCTCCACCACAGACTCCTCTAGGCTCGTGATGGGGAAGGCTGTTGTTGTTTTAGCCTCCAGGAGAGAACAGAGTGCTTCTCGGCTAGTAGTATCTAATCGTTAGCATTAGCACCTCCACCACAGACTCCTCTAGGCTCGGGTATTTGTGGAGATAAAACATCAACGATGCAGAGCAAACAGAGTCAGTGGTAGATTTGTGTTGCTGTTAGACAATCAGAGGGTAGATGATCTTGTTTTTAACTATATTTTTAATCTAAATAACAATCTCAATACTTTTGCCCTACTTAAGCATAGAAATGTCTCATTTAACTGCTCAGTGCCATGGTTTAGCTACGACCTTCACTGTCTTAAATCCGAAGGACTCAGATTGGAACGTGTTAAGAAAACTGGCCTTACTATCCATAAAGATCTATATAAGAATCATTTGTTGCATTATAAAGACTCCATTCACACAGCTAAATCGGTTTATTATTCTAATTTAATCAGCTCAAGTGAAGGTAACTCCAAGACCCTTTTTTCTCTGTTCTCCAAAATTACAAAGCCTCCTGATTTATTGCTTAACAGTATGGTTTCCTCGGACTATTGCAACTCCCTCATGTCCTTCTTCACATCCAAAATCTCTAATATTCACCAACAACTCCACGCTACTAGAGATCCTCATTCAGAAGTTGAGCCCATCCTGACAACTTCAAGTCATTTATTCTCAAGTTTCAGTCTCCCCTCTGTAACAAATATCAAATTTCATCAGGGAATCTAAGGCCTAGTCCACACGCAGCTGGGTTTTTTTAAATCAAATATCCGCCCCTCGAAAAACTTGCATCCAAACCACCTTGTTTAAAAAAAACTCTGTCCACACGTACCCGGATAAATACGTTGTTAAGGACATGCCAGACCTGTAGGTGGCAGTACTTGGAGAAGCCAGGTGCCGGGCAATAGCCGTTCTTAACCTCGTCCATCATCTGTGGTCTTCCGCAAGGAGCAGTAATTCTGCTTGCAAAAACAAACAAGCAAAAAGCGCTTGGACAACTGATAAAGCGAGCGCAGCTCTGAGGGCATCCATGCTGTCGGCTAGTGTACACACAGGTTGGCCGGAGTTTTTAAAAAGATCATTTTCGTGTGAAAAAACTCCATTTTCGTGTGGATGACAGGCTAAAATGTAGAAAAATATCTACGTTTTGGCAGATCCCCGGCCACGTGTGGACAGGGCCTAAATCATCCACCTGTCTGCTTGACCCTCTCCCCACAGTGCTACTTAAAGCTTGTCTTCCATCATTGGTTCCTCTCATATCTAATATCAAATACTCTTCCCTCAGTACCGGAGTTGTTCCTGCAGCATTAAAAACTGCCTGTATCACTCTGATTCTCAAAAAGCCCGGTGCGGATCCCACCAACTTTGATAATCTTCATTCAATATCTAAATTACCATTTATCTCCAAAATCCTTGAAAAAGTTGTTGCTTCTCAGCTTCACTCATATCTCAGTTCTCATAATCTATATGAACAATTCCAATCTGGTTTCAGACCACAACACAGCACGAAGACAGCACTAGTAAAAATCACAAATGATCTACTAATGGCAGCAGACTCAGGCCATCTCTCCATTCTGGTTTTACTAGATCTAAGTGCTGCATTTGACACAATTTCTCACAGCATACTTCTCAAAAGATTAGCATCTATCGGCATTAGTCACACACCCTTAGCCTGGTTCACCTCATACATGTCGGATCATACTCAGTTCATTCAACTTCAACCTCACTCTTCTAGTCCATCCCCGGTTACTGCAGGAGTTCCCTATGGCTCAGTTCTAGGCCCTCTTTTATTTATCATCTATTTGCTCCCCTTGGTTACATTTTCCGCAAATACAACGTTGATTTTCACTGTTATGCTGATGACACCCAGCTGTACATTTCCTCCAATCCAAATGCATCCCTTCCACCAATCTCCCTCTCTAACTGTCTATCTGAAATTAGATCTTGGCTCTCTCGTAATCTACTTAAACTAAACAGCAATAAAACTGAACTCCTACTCACTGGCACTGCTTCCGTTTTAAAAAATCCTCCCAGTTTCTCTGTCAATATTGACGACTCCACAGTTCACCCATCCTTACAGGTAAAAAGTCTTGGTGTCATACAAGATGGTACACTTTCATTCCATTCTCACATTAACCATGTTACTTGAGACGCATATTACCATCTTCGCAATATCAACAGACCCCGTCCTTTTCTCACGCCTCATGCTGCTGCAATCCTCGTTCAAAGTCTCATTCACCTCTCGCATCGACTACTGTAACTCCCTTCTGTTTGGTCTCCCAACTAAATCCCTTCATAAACTCCAACTTCTCCAGAACTCTGCAGCACACACCATTACTGGGACCCCTCGAGAAATCACATCACTCCTGTTCTTAAAAACCTACACTGGTTGCCAATAGAAACCAGAATCATGTACAAGATCCTACTACTTACATTTAAATATATTCTTAGCATGGTTCCACTTTATCTATGTAACTTACTAACTATTGCTACCACTTCCCGATCTCTTAGATCCTCATCTGCACTTCATCTGGTTCAACCTCGAGCTCGCCTTACCACCATGGGGAGCAGAGCTGTCAGTTGCTTTGCTCCGCGGCTCTGGAACTCACTTCCCTCTGCCATTAGAAATATGGACTATTTTCCATAATTCAAAGCACCCCTCAAAAGCCACTTATTCAAACAAGTCTATTCCCTTTAGACCTAGACTTTAGAATGTTTCGAATTATGTATCTTATTTGTTCTTATTGCTCTATCAACCTCTGTTGTTTTTATTGTTTTTATCTTTGTTTAATTGTAAGGTGACCTTGGGTTTGAGAAAGGCGCCTTCAAATAAAATGTATTAATATTTTTATTATTATAGATGTTCAAAAATGAGTAAATAACAATTAGTACGACTCCAAATCCTGCCGTTTTCTGCTCCCCTCTCCTTCTCCTTCCTGAAACAGGAGCGCAATAGTTTAATTCCCACAGGGATGGACTCACAAGGCATTTATTCATGGTATGAGACTAGAGCAATTGGATATAAAATGAGTCAACTTGGTCTTTAAATTAAATGTGTTTTCTTAAATGAGTTTGAACTTAAGTAAATAACTAATGCTAAATAACACGGGGCTTGGTGGTACTACGTTCCAGCGATTTAGATTAACTCTGTTTTTCTCTCCCAGAACCAAATGTCCTGATGCCGGATGGCTTCAGAGTCTCAGGACAAACTCAGAACAGCATCACTCTGCAGTGGAATAAAATGAACAACGTTGCTAGCTATGTGCTCCAGTTTAACGGTGCAGAGACAAACATCAACGCACCAAGCGGAGTCGGACCAGTAACCTACACAGTCTCGCCTCTCGCTGCTGGAACCACGTACACGTTCACTCTCTATTCTGTGTCTGACAACATCAGAAGCCCTGGAGTACAACTTGTAGCTTCTACTGGTGCGATGCTTCACATTATAAATGAACCCTTCCACTGTTAAAATGTAAGAAAGCATTTTTTATTTGTAACTTGTGTGTTTCCTTGACTACAGATGCTGGTGCAGAGGTGTTTACGATTGCTACAAAGTTCAACATCAGCTCATGTCCCATCACGTTTTATCAGAAGGTCTACACCAACGTCTACGTAAGTAGAATGGCCCTCACAAGTCATCGTCCACTATGGCCAAACCTTCATCTGAATAGTGGTAATTATATTTATTTGTTTGTTTTTAACAGGTGAACTTCACCAGTGACAGTCTAGTGTTCTGCTTCAAGGGCTTCTACGGCCTCGACACCAACAATGACTGTGTTTTTGGCCCCAAACCCGACTCCGTCAAGGCTACATTCAACATCACTGAACACGACTCTTCATTAGACAAACAGGTCAAAGAAGCAGTGAGAACCATAACAAGCAGCATGGGATGCGGTGTGCACTTTAGCACTACATGCTCAAGTCAAAAGGTCAGCACGGATTCATGTCCAACCATTAATGTGTTGATGTTTTTCATTGTTTAAAAAAGTAACTAAAGAAAACAAACTGGGTTAGACCAGCATTAAACTCCAACAGGAGGGTAAGGGGCAGATGCACCATACACGTCAAAGCGCGTTCCTCTAAACCTCCGATGCGTTCTGAGGAGCTGTCAGTTCAGCATACAGATGGCAAAGTGCGAGGAAACCATCCACAAAAATGAAAAAATGAATATGTATCGCACGTTTTTATTTTACCACCTCCTAATTTTAAAACCCCATTAGAAAACAAACTTTAAGATAGATTTAATTGACAAGTCAGGGTGTCATGCAGTTGCTAAAATCAAATCTATGATGATCTGACAGCGTATGCCTGTCTGACAAACGTGTGCTGTCAGATTGGCACATGCTGTAATACGCATATGCCAAACTGACATGTGGTGATTGGACAGAACACAATGAAATGATGTAATAAAGCCCAGTTCATTTTTACACTGTAATATTATGATCCCCACATATGGGGCAGCATGACAACAGTGCTGGTGTCGCCGGACGTTGGCTGGGACGGGTATTTGAACCCATGACTTTTTGTTCCAAATTCAGATGACAACATCATTTTCTAACTCGTTTCCAGAACAGGAAAAACTAAACTGGCAGACAAAAGTAGTTTAAATTCCATGTGATTTCATTCATTTAGGTTTACTCAATCTTATTTTACATTTTTTTCTTTTGTCATCAAAGACTGACTTGAACCTTCTTGGTTTTGGGAATGAAGCTGCTCTGTATTTCACCTCAACTCCTAATAAATCCAAACTGGTGAGTTCATGAATGCCCACACCTCTAATACAGACTGTCTTAGGGTGAGCTGTGACACCAGAGGGATGCAAAACGGGATATTCTATTCTATTCTATTCTATTCTGTCCTATCCTATCCTATTCTATTCTATTCTATTCTACTTAAACCCATTTGATTATATTCTATTTAAATCTATTATATTGTCTTTAAATCTATTCAATTTAAATATATTCTATTCCATTTAAATCAATTCTATTCTAGTCTATTTAAATATATTCAACTTAAATATATTCTATTCTATTTAAATCCATTCTATTCTATTCTACTTAACCCCATTCGATTATATTCTATTTAAATCTATTCTATTGTCTTTAATCTATTCAATTTAAATATATTCTATTCTATTTAAATCCATTCTATTCTATTGTATTCAACTTAAACCCATTCGATTATATTCTATTTAAATCTATTCTATTGTCTTTAATCTATTCAATTTAAATATATTCTATTCTATTTAAATCTATTCTATTTAAATATATTATATTGTATTTAGATGCATTATATTATACTAATATTATATTATATTATATTATATTATATTATATTATATTATATTATATTATATTTAAATCCATTCTATTCTATTCTAATCTATTCTACTTAAACCCATTCAATTATATTCTATTTAAATATATTCTATTCTATTTAAACCTATTCAACTTAAATATATTCTATTGTATTTAAATCCATTCTATTCTATTCTACTTAAACTCATTCGATGATATTCTATTTAAATCTATTCTATTCTATTTAAATCTATTCAATTTAAATATATTATATTGTATTTAAATGCATTATATATATTATATTATATTATATTATATTATATTATATTTAAATCCATTCTATTCTATTCTAATATATTCTATTTAAATAGATTCAAATTAAATATATTATATTCTATTTAAATCTATTCTATTCTATTCTGTAGGTTATGATAAGGTTGAAATGCTGACTAGCTAATGTAAACACTGCTATTATGTTTATAACTCTCTCCTCTAATCAGTAACAACATGTTTCATTTTAATGTCTGAAATCTGATATTTCTGTCTTTGGACATAAAATGATTGTTGGTGTTTAGGTGGCTAACATCACAGTTGCAGGCACTTATGTTGAGTCAGTTACTCTTGAGTCACCTTCCACTGGCAGATTTACTGACATCAGCGGATGCAGAGTCTCAGGTTGGTCAGTCCTTAACGTGTCTTTGACAAATATCCATCTGTTTAGTTTAAACTGTTTCGGTTGCACTTTAAACTGGTTTACTAATATATTTATGAATTATGAAACTAATGAAAACCTTACTTTACTTCCTAGGTGTTGGCATTTTACCAAACACTACAGTGTTTTTGCCCCAAACCTGCACTACTGTTGTGTGCACTGCCAACAAATCCTACACATCCACAGGCTGTGGGAACCAGCAGCGTTGTGATGGAAATGGAGTGTAAATATGAGAAAAACACGCTAAAGCAGTTGCTTAACCAAATTAAAACGATAAAGGAACAAAAGAAAGATAGCAAACTCTTGATCTGTCTCTGTTTGCATCAGATGCTTGAACACCACCTGCACCGTGACCGGACCCACCGTCATTGACTTTAACGGTCATCTTGGCTTTGTGGCTGATCGCTGCGCGTACTCTCTGATGTCAGATTCAAAAAATAACTTCAAAGTGTTGGCCAGCTTCCAGGAGCGCCGACGTAGAGACGTGAGCTTTTTGGACAGTGTGACCCTGCAGCTGGACGATCCAGGTGTTCAAATTCACCTGGAGCAAGGAGGCCGAGTCCAGGTGAGGTGCTTGCGAGGAAACGATACATGTACTACGTTAGATCGGTGAACTCAGTAAAGGTTTGAGCAAACGTCTCCCTCTCTCTTTACTGAAACAGATAAACAACACAATTCTGAACATTACCAGCTCAGTCCAGCGCTTTCAGGGCGTTGAGCTCTTTAAGGACCAAACTGGAGTCACTGCAACATTTTCAGTTGCTAAACGCACAACTTCTGTGTTTTTTGATGGCTACACGGCGCAGATTCAAGTACAGGGTAGAAACACCTTCGTCCACAAACAGTTTCATCCATACCCTGTTGTTTACACACATGAACGCTGCTCTGGCTCACTTTGCCTGCTTTACAGCCCCTGCTGGATCATCTCTGAAGGGTCTGTGCAGCAACTCCAGCGATATTTCAAACACGAAGCTCCCTGAATACAGCTCCTCTAGGTAGCTCATCCCACTTCTGCTTTGCTACATGAACGAGTTGCAGATTCCCCGTGTGTGAATGTGTTGTTTGTCACGCCCCCCAGCTGCGGAACACAGTTTGACGACCCCGATGACAACACGGTCAACTGTGACTTAATGACGGAGCGGTGAGCAGAATAAAACACGTCCTCGTGTTAAACATCACATCTCATTAAACAACAGTAGATGACAAAAACGGACATTTTCTCACCTCTTTTCCATCTACATGGATAATAGGTGCAACATCCTGAAAGCTGCACCCTTCTCCTCCTGTAATGAAGACGTGGACCCGACCCCCTACGTAAACGCCTGCAAGAACACTTTGTGCACTTATCCTTCAGTGGACCACCTCTGGTGTCAGTTCTTGTGGTCCTACGTCCGAGCCTGCAGCCTTGATGGCAACAGCGTGGATGACAGCTGGCAGTCTGAGGCTAAGTGCTGTAAGAGCTGGTTTTACACACATCCCATCTCTTCGGAATGATGGATCTCGTTTTTCTCCTGTTACAGCATCTAAGGCCTTTTGTCAGGACAACACCTGCAAGGATCATGAGTTCTGTGGGAGGAAGTTGAGCGGAGAACCTGGCTGCCTCTGCAGAGCCGTGTTTGCTTCCAGATACAAAGAGTCCAACAGTCTGGGTATGGAGATGAGTGTGTGACATGGCTGAGTTACTGGGAGGAAACACCAACTTGTCTTTGTCTCACTATAAATCGTAAAATCTTCAGGTGATCGACCGGTGTGCAAGCAGAAGATGGGTGTGATCGCTCTTGTCGGTTGTCTGCTGGAAGAGAAAGGCATCAACTACACCTCCTTACACCTGAAAGACCCGAGCTGCGTGGGCGTTTTGGACAAGGAGACCCACATGGTGACTTTCAAATTTGACGAGAACAACATCTGTGGGACCGAGATCCTGGTGAGTGTTTCCTCTCAAATTCAACGGGCAGAATATTTTCCTGCAGAAGTCGGCTGAGCTCATGCTGCACCTCCCTGGAGTCAGGATCCTGTTGATGGTGCTAGTCAGGAGCTCAGGAGGTAGAGCGGGTTGCCCAGTAATCGGAGAGTTACGGGATCAATCCCAGCTCTCTGCAGGGAATTCTGCTGCTGTGTTCTTCCTTAAGACACTTTTCCCACTTTGCCTGCTGGTGGTGATCGGAGGGACTGGTGTTGCTTTTGTCAGTGAGCCCCAGGGCAGCTGTGGCTACAATGTAGCTCATCACCACCAGTGTGTGAATGACTGTAGTGTAAAATGCTTCCTCTGACTCAGAAAGAGCAGACTGGTTTGTTTGGTAACATGGACTGCAGTACTCCAATTTAACCACAGGGTGTCGTTCTACTTATAGCACCTTTAAGATCTGTTCTGGGTGGACGACATTTGCAAAGGAGGAAGGTTTAAAAGTTGCTATGACATCACAACATCTTAATCTCTGATTCTGCAGAAAAACGGAAGCCAAACGACTTACAAGAATGCGATCATGAACCAGAGGAGCTCTGATGTCATCACTCGCCAAGACCAGATCTACATCAACATCTCCTGCTACGACAGTCAACTTGAAACGAAGGCTGTGACCTTCAAAATCAAAGACAGGTGTGTATCGACAGTATTGTCGGTGCGCCACCATCACCATCAGTGCATGAATGTGTGTGTGAATGGGTGAATGATGCACTGTGGTAAAGCGCTTTGGAGTCCTCTGACTCTGAGAGACGCTGTACAGGTGTGGGGCATTTTCAAATAAAAGTTAAAGTGTGTTTCTGTGTGTTTGCTCCACAGGTCTGTGGTCCAGAAGATCACATCTGGAGATCTGGATTATAGTCTGACCATGAAGGCCTACACAGACAGGAGACGCACACAACTTGTGAATCCACAAACCGACGTGCTGCTGAACCAGAAGATCTGGGTGGAGCTGAAGGCTGATGGGCTTGATGCTGACCTGTTTGCCGTAGTGACTGATTTCTGCTGGATAACCAGTCAGCAATCACCAAACAGCTATCCGAAACATGACCTGATCAAGAGCGGGTGAGGCAGACAAAAGCGGCCGATACTCAGAGTAACTTCACTTACACCTCTGATCTGTGTTTCCTTCAGTTGTCCGGTCCGAGACGATGAAACGGTCCAGGTGAGAGGAAACGGAGAAGGAACCTCCAACTATTTCTCCTTCAACATGTTTGAGTTTACTGGGATCTCTGGTGATGTTTACCTTCACTGCACTCTGCAACTGTGCATCAAACAAGAAAGCAACTGTGTCCCGGTAAGCCTCTGAAGAGTCTAATTACTCCCCGCTTTTCACACCAGGGTGTTAAACTAGCCTCACACGTTGATGAAGAGAATAAAAGTGTTATTGCTGTTTTGATCCAATCTTTAAAGACAAAGTTCACTGAGAAATTGTTTTTTACTTGTTGTTTTAGAGATATTATCGGCCCCTTTTGGTTTAAAATGCAAGCTAAATGTGGACACAGGGTGTTTCTCAAATGTCAAGGCGCCTTGCTTACGAGGACACTGTCCTTCCTTGGTCAAAGAAAACGGTTAAATTGAACAGACTTGCATCGCGTGACCGCGGTTTCCACGACGGTCACGTAACGTCACGTGACTTGGGAGATATCGGGAGATATTTTATACGTATTAGTTTCAATATAAATATATAACGAGCCTTTTACTTTTTAAATTGTGTATATATTTGTTAAATTTAATATATAAGCGAGTTACTACCCGCTAGCCACCGAAGCTGCAACTACAAAGCAACTAACCAACCATAGATAACTTCTTTGGATCTTAAAAAAAAACATTTTAAATTAGTTGACTTACTTTTAAACTTGAAATATGCTCCCGAAGTAGCTGCCGGCTTCTGATCCGCCGTCTTTTTGAAAATACCGTGTTGTATTGTGGGTAATTTTTGACCAAGGCTAGACTACAATACACCTCCCGTGTATTCTTGCTCAGCTAGCTAAACGGCTAACAAACGGAGAACACACGCCTCAGTAGAACATGAACATTGGAACACGACTTGGCGGCTCCAGATGACGTATCTCCCAGGCAACTGTAGCGGGGCCAAGACATCAAGGCGAGGTTCCTTGGCATTGAAAAACACCCATTGTCTTTTACCGCCCCTTCCAGCCTTAGCTGCCAGTAGAAAATAGACGTGGGACACTCAGGTCTGACAAAGCCAGCCAGATCTACGTCACATTCAAAATTTGCTCGACCATCGTGACTCATGAAGGCTGTGATTGGTTTAGTGTCCAGGAGAGACCAGAGCGCGTCTCGGCAAATAGAAGCTAACGTTAGCATTAGCGATTCCATAACATGGCAGAGCTCCTCTTGGCTTGTGTTTTTTGTGGCAATCAATCATCAACGTTGCAAAGCAAGTGGAGTCAACGATAGAGTCCTGTTGCTGTTATCCAATCAGAGGCAAGACTTCTGGTTATCAGGAAATAGGACTCCAAATCCTGCCGTCTTCAGCTGAACTTGGATCTGGTTTTATTCTACTTCCTGAAGCAGGAGTGCTAGAGCTGTTCCCCTACAGAGACTGTCTCACAAGGCACACATTTATACCAGAGACCACTGCAAATGTGTCGAAGAAAAAAAGTGAACTTGGTTAATGGTTAGCATTTACTCACTGCTCTAGCCTCTCCATTTGGTGATTTCACTGTTGGAATGGTGCCGTTCAAAGACGTTATCCATCTGAAAACCCACTCTGGTACATGCAGTGGTTTAACAAGCAGACTGTCAAATCACGGTCACACTCTGGCTCCATTTCTGAGAGCTCCTGAAGATAAAACCCAACCATTTCTGCTGATTAAACTATTTTCCTGAAATACTGGACAGGGAAAGCTGTTCCTCTCACATGTTTGGGCTCTGGGCATTATTTAAAGTGTAGACTTGAGAAGAAAGGCTGATGGGCAGAAGCAGTGGAGACATGATAATGCATGCGTGAGACTAAAAACTATTTGAGGGGTGAGAAAATGAAAATATCAATGATCAAAAACTCCAAAAAGTGGATTAAGCATGATAAAGTCCCTCTAAGCCATCTATGGAGCACTTGTTCCCTGTTTCTTCTTAACTTCTGCTTAAGCATGTTTTATTCATCCAAAACCAGTTAGTTCCATCGTCCCAATGCTCGAGTCGTTTTGGGTGAATCATAAGGGTTACCCCCTTTTTTACCCAACTCAATTTTGTAGGACTGCTGCAACTAGTGGGTATTTTAATAGCTGACTCATCAGTCTGTTCCTATTCGATCTGTAAACGATTATTTAAATCAATGTTTTCTGTGGTCAGACTTTTACGTCACCGGCTCATCTCTTAGAACATCAGCCCGAGTCTCTGGATCACTAAAACGTTGCTTTACGGTGGTTTTCTAAATGTGATGAATAGAAATATTTTTGCATGCAGTTTTTTATTTACCGTACAGTTTTTATTATGCTGCTGTTAACTTTCTCCACCGAGGCACAATAAATGAAAGTAAATATATCCAAGTAGTCATTTGAAAGTGCTTTTATTTTGTAGAACTGTTCTGGTGGAAGAGGAAGAAGACGCAGATCTATGGGGACCGGGGGTGGACACGGAGTGTGAGCCTGAGCTGGATTGGATAGGTGAGCTTGTGAAGCTTCTGATGATAACCCACTCTGAACACGAGGCTCAAAACGATCAGGGATTAAGATCAATCTCATTATTCAGGAAGCTTCGGAGGAAAAGGTGTACAAAGTGAATAAAATAAAATGTGTGATACAGCAAGACCAGCAGCTTTTAAAATAAATATTCTGATTTTCCTCTCAGGTGGTTTCCATGGCGATTTGGACTGACCTACACCAGCTTCATGACGATCCTCATCTCTGGTTGCATGAAACGTTCTTGTTTTTAGCTTTCATCTTAAAATGGTGATTGGGAAACACGTGGGCTCTAATCGATTTGACCTGTGATCTAACGTGTTAATTTACTCAGAAGTCATCAGTTCTCCGGTGCCTTTGCCACTACATTTCCCAGAGGTCCTTGTGGGTTAGAGTCTCTGCTGCTCATCTTGTGACACGGGTCAGCTGACACTGAAACGTGACACTAATGCATGTTGCTTTGATGTTTCTTTAGCATAAATAAAAAAAAACATAAAAATAAATAGTGAAACTTAAACTGACTTCAGGTGTTATTTTTCTTCTGACTCGTGCTGTTTTTTCTGTAGGATAGAATCAATAGCATAGCATAGTATAGCATAGCATAGCATAGTTTATTTATATAGCACATTTAAAATGCAGCATGGGAGCTGCCCAAAGTGCTGCACAGGCTAAAACAAAACACACCCATTACAAGGAGCTAAAACAAAGGATAAAAATCTCAATTAAAAGCAGAGAAAACATGAATAATAAGAACACATTAAAACAATGACACAATAAAACACTAAAACGAGTCACTGTCTAAAAGCCAAAGTGTAAAAGTGGGTCTTTAAACGAGATTTAAAAACCGCCAGAGACGGAGCCTGCCGAACTCCAATGGGCAATGAGTTCCATAGCTTTGGGGCAGCATGGACAAATGCTCGTTCACCCCGCGATTTGAGCCTCATCCGCGGCGTGTGCAGCAGCAAAAGGTCAGCCGACCTCAACGAGCGGGTGGGCACATATGGAGTGAGAAGGGCAGAGAGGTAGGAAGGTGCCAGGTCACTGAGTGCTTTAAAAACAAAAGTCAGTAACTTAAACTGCACTCTGAAAATGACAGAGAGCCAGTGAAGATGTGTCAGGACAGGGGTAATGTGGCTACGTCGGTGTGTACCCGTCAAGAACCTGGCAGCAGCGTTCTGAACAACCTGCAGCCGATTCAGGGCAGAGTCCGGAACACCAATGAGGAGGGCGTTTGCGTAGTCCAGGCGAGAGGTAATGAATGCATGAATGACTGACTCCAAATGCCTCAGTTTCAGGATTCGTCTGAGGTGAGTAAGGCGGCGAAGCTGATAAAAACAAGACCTCACTACAGAGTTTATCTGTGGGGCCATTTGTGAGTCCAGCATCCAGCTTGACCTCGAGACTTGTCACACACTGTTTGGGGTTTAGGGTTAAAAGGTCACAAACAGGGTGAGAGCCATGGTGGTTGCGGGGGTCAAAAACAATAAACTCAGACTTCTTTTCATTCAGTTTTAAGAAGTTGGATGCCAGCCAGCCCTTCACGTCATCCATACATGCAGCCAATTTTGAGCCCGCATTTTTCTCGTCCATTTCCACGTATAGCTGACAGTCATCTGCGTAGATGTGGTAGCTCAGGCCATGCTGATTCAGGATATTTCCCAGAGGCAGAAGGTAGATTGAAAACAGCAATGGCCCAAGAACGGAACCTTGCGGCACCCCCCAAGGCAGTGGAAGACTGGAGGATGCACAGTCACCAATCTGTACAGAGATGGTACGGTTTGATAGGTAGGAGCGGAACCATTTAAGCGCCACCCCCGTCACCCCAACCCAAGACCCAAGCCGATTCAGTAAAATTTGGTGATCGACCGTATCAAAAGCCGCTGAAAGGTCCAGCTGGATGAATCAGAGTTTTAAAATAATTAGTGTCTTGAAAATGTGTGGATATTTGTTTTTGCTTTGTTTGTACTGTGTCCAAAATGTTTTTAAAGCAATTCCATCCATCCATCCGTCCTTTTTCCTCCGCTTATCCGGATTCGGGTCGCGGGGGCAGCAGCCTAAGCAGGGAGGTCCAGACTTCCCTCTCCCCAGCTACTTGGGCCAGCTCCTTTGTGAGAATCCTTAGACGTTCCCTGGCCAGGTGAGAGACGTAGTCCCTCCAGCGTGTCCTGTCTTCCTTTGGGTCTCCTCCCGGTTGGACGTGCCCAGAAACCATCAACAGCGAGGCGTCAAGGAGGACTCCTAACCAGATGTCTGAGCCATCTCAACTGGCTCCTCTCAAAAATTCCAATATGTTATTATCTTACCAACTTAGTATTTATTATGCAACCTAGTAAAATAGGAGGAAAGCATTTGTCATGTCCACATTAAACATTAAATGTCTGATTACATGCCAGAGGGGATTCACATACGTGGATTTGAGCATCAGATTCAAACAGTACTTACCAGTGACGTTCAGGGTAGATTTGTCTTCTCCGACAAAATTCCTTCTTCTCACCTTACACGGGTACACCCCAGAATCATTCATCCTGAGGCTGTACACATGAAGTCTGAGATGTCCTTCTCTGAGGATGTCTTTTTCACTCTGGACTCATCCTGCAAACTTTTCATCCTGAAACTCAGAGAGTTCAACACCTTCATAGACGTGAAAAAGGACTAATTTTTTGTGAGGATGTCTCAACCTGCAGCAGATGAACATATTAATCGCAGATGTACCAGGTGTGGTGGTGAAGGTCCATTCCAGAGTGATGTTCTGGTTCTCCTCTGCCTGATAGGAGCTCCGTGTCACATCGACAGTTAATGGCTCTTCATCTACAAGGATTGAGGACAGCAGTCAGACACATAGAACAACACATAAAACAAGCCTCTTACTTTAATGAGCTCTAAAGAATCAACTTACTAAACACATCAAGTAGTTTTTTTTGTTTTTTTTTCTGTGCTGGAGCCAGAATCTGTCGTCATTTCACAAACAAACAGACCAGAGTCTTCAGGTCTCAGTCTGGACACGTGAAGTCTGAGTCGTCCTTCTCTCAGGACGTCTTCGTCACTCTGGACTCGCCCTGCAAACTGTTGATCCTGAGACTCTGACACATGAACTCCATCATGGACCTTGTGTGAAAACAAGACTCTCTGATCTGTTGACCGGTAACAGTGGAGAGACCGGTTGCAGCTGTCACTGCTGAAGGAGCTGATGGGTTTATCAGGAAAAGTCCATTCCATCGTGATGCTCTGGTTCTCCACCGCCTGATAGCAGCTCTGTGCTGCATGGACTACAGAGGGGCTCAAACAGGTGATGACAATGTAAGCTTTTAAAAACATTTTAATTTATTAAAAAAACACTGATTAAATAAATAAAATCATGACAAAACATTAAAAGGAAACTGTGCAGTTTGGGCTTTTTTTCATCAGTGTTGTGAAACCAAAGTGAAACTCTTCTCACTCTGTGGTCGTAATCTAACAGCTGAAACATCTCCTCAGCCTTCATTAGTGTCTGCAGGAGTGATTCATCACTAAATCAAACAAATCAGCTGTGTTCGTGATCTAAAACATGCTGGAAGCAGGCTGCAGCGCTGGCATGTCAGCTCCACTCTACTAAATCCAACAGGAAATGACCCGCCACTCTGAAGTTGCAAGTGTGATGTTTCAGCCACAGAGGGCGGTGGGGGTCTGAGGGGCCTTTCATTAACCCTGTAAAGGGTCATTTTAGCACATAGTGACTCAAGAAAATTATTTTAAAATGTGAAAAAGTTGCATGATATGCCTTTAAACAACAGTACGTATGCACCTCACAGCTTCTGTTTTTTCCTGATGAACAAAACGTGGAAACTGACCACAGATAGTTGGAGGATGACAAAGCACAGGATCCATTTTCGTTCCCTAAGAGAAGACAAAGGTGAAGATTCATCAACCTATGAGTCCAAAGTTCATCTGACACAGCTTGTAAAGTGAGACCGTCAGCCAGTCTATCCGTTTTCTCATCATTTGATCTTTCCTCAAGAAAAGAAACATTTCACTCCTAGACAGTTTCACTAAATCTCATCAAATCCCTTCTGGCCCTAAATCATCCAGACAGAGTTTCAGGATCAGTATCTTCATCAGAAACCTGCCAAATCCAGTCCCATGTATGTCTACTGCCCTCTGGTGGACGAACTCCAGGTTGCAAGGGCCTATTTGTAATTGCTAATTGTATATACAACTAAAATCAATTGATTATTAACATTAGACAACACAATCACCTGTTTAAAAAACTACATCTATAATTGTTATTACTTCATATTTCAGACCTAAAAGATTTTTCCCATAGTTGTTAGCTTGATGAAAAACTCTAACCGTCTAACTCTAGTCCATCTCTCTAACACCTACGCAGTCTCCGACGTGGGATTTTCCTGGTTTTGATGGTTATTTCTCCTCTTTATCAACTCATGGGAGCAGTCTGTAGTAGCTTCCTGCATCAGCGTCTCTCTCCTTCTGCTGCACGTTCCCTGCTCAACACTGAGAGGGCGGAGCTTACTCTTTGACCAATAGAATTGGTCTATTCTATTAAAACGCGTTCTACTTTCATTTTCTTTTATTTACTTAACTATCTATTAAGTTATTTATTAATTCTCTTTTATTTATCTTAATTTATTCTTTATTTTATTTGAGGATAGATCACGTTAGTAACCCAATCGCTCAGTACATTACTGATGTTAAATTTTTTGGGTTACATATTATATTTCTTGTTTTTAACGCATTTTGTAATTTATGAGTTAACTTAGTTAATATTACATTTCTGAGTTAAACTAAATTGTTCAGTTCAGTTTAAGTGGCAGTGACATCACATCCTGTTCCTCTTTGTTTTGAAAGTTTTATTGATGCGAATGGACCAATATTGTGTCAATTATGAACATTAATATTAAATGTTTTCCAACACTGTTTATTCTTTATTTTGTAATTTCTATATTTTTATCAAAATGGAAGCAAGTAAGCTAATAAAGACCACATTAAACATCAGTAACAGGAACACTCGTGTCTCTTGTGTTGGTGAGAAAGTCAGCATAGTGTAACACTACACTGCCCTGGAGAAGACAGGGAGACAGTCTGGAGCAAAGCAACTAGCAAAAGGTGCTGCAGGCCTGCTAAGCATTGCAGGCTGGTGAATTATTTTTTTGGGTGGGGCTCATTTTTGCAAGTCAGTTTTTCAGAAGCACAAACCACATACCACCACTAGGGTATGGCAAATTAACATTCTCATGCGTCACACAAATTAAACCCAACGGACCCGGTGCCAGGTCTATAAGCACTTCCTGTCAAAAAGTTGCTCCCAAAACATGCTCAACATTCACCAATATATGCAAATTGCACATGCACCTAACAAGAAGAGGCTCGTCTGAACGAAAGAATCCACATTTTCTACCTCAACACCACCCAGTGACAATAAGCCGCTAAATGAAAAGCAACACAAAGCTAATTTCATGAAGTCAGTTGCGTAAAATCAGCATTGCCTCAGCTGGTTTTTGGTCATATTAATCTGTGTTATAGTAACAAATCCGCTTGGTTCATGTAATCCAATGTCCCAATGTCACACTGAGCTAATTCTTGATTGTTTTGGGCTTTTTGTACCTGCTGGAAAGTGTTTACAAGTCTCTAGCACCACATTCCATCATTTTCCAGTTCCATAATATAAAAAAAAAAAAAACACAAAACTCTACGAGGAGTGCCCAGCTGCTCTCCAACAAACAAAGAACAGTGAGCTAAAGAAAAAGAAAGGGATGGTGAACTGTGGAGAGCTTCCAGTTCCAGGTGAAAATCCTGAGCTGAGACTCGTCTTCAGCAAATGTTTCGGTCGCAAACCTCTGCGTTCAAAGGCTTTCCTATTCTTTGTATTAGAGGAGGATCCAGCATGCATGTGCCAGTTATAGCATAGGCCTATAAAGATTGCTTTAATAAATCCACCCGCATCAGACAACAAGCATCCATACAAAGACAAATCAAGAAGTACGCTGAGTGCTAAAACTCTTAACAGAAGCTCCAATGAAAAGGCGTTTGCTACGTGTCTCTTCTGTAAGAAACCTGGTCACACACACTAAATGTCATGGTCTGCGTCTTCCCTCATGTGTCTCCTCGTGTTCTCCATCCATCTCTAGGTTCTCCCTTTGTGTCTCCTAGCGCCCTCATGTGTCCTTGTCTACGTCTCCCTCATGTGTCTCCTTGTGTTCCTCATGTGTCCCCACATCTGCAGCCCCTCTAGGTACCCCCCCCCCCCCCAGGTCCTGTGCTCTCGTGGTCCCCCTTAGTCACGCCCCTGTAGTTTTTCTTTCTGTAGTGTTTTCCTTTAGTTTCAGCTGTTCATCTATTAGTCCCTTTTAGTGTGTTTCTTTCCACCCACCAGTTATTTAGTTCTCCTTCCTCAGATTATTAGTTAGTTATTTTGCTCTTCTTGTTTTTAGGTTTTGTCTTTAATCTTAAGTCATGTTATTTTTCTTCCTCTTCAACTCACTGCCCTCTCCCTGGTTAGTAATTGAGTTCACCTGATGTCTCTCCCCACACACCTGCAGCTCATCTCCCTCTCTTCCTCCCCAGTGTATAAAACCCTGTCTGTGTTACAGCGTTGTGTCGGTCCATTGTTCGTGTCAGTCTCATCTCCTTTGCTCTCTAGCTTCTAGTGTTTTTGGATCTCTGGTTCAGTCATTTGGATTTTTGGTTTTTGGCTCACTGCCTTTTGGATTATCCCTAAATAAAGGATTTTATTTTCATCATCTACCTCCTGCCTCGTTCATCTGGTTCTCTGCATCTTGGATCCTAAACTTCCTCCTGCCCAACTCGTGACACTAAAAGATAATGGAAAAGCCAGCTGAAGAAGAGCAAAGTCTGTAAAGGCTGAAAACCAGAGCTTTGGCTGCCGCAAGTACGGTTATAACTCCAGAAACTGAGTCCAGAAGTGTGTGTGACAAATGACAGAAACCTCACCCAAGTTGTCTGCATCACAACAGAAAAAAGGGAGATAAAGAGAAAAGAGCAAAGAATAATCAACAACGAGGACCAATCAGGAGACAGATGAGGTGTCTGAAGCACAAGAGAAAGAATCTCAGCCCGTTACATCCAACAGAGACGTACGACAAAGATCAAAGGGTTCTATTCCAGCGCCGACAACACAGCAGAACAACAACATGGATACCCAGTGGGAAATGTTTGTATTTGTTTTTTTTAATTAGCATGATTAGATTATTTTAATTGTTTGGCATGCTTTGTTGTTTTCTGTGTTTGTGTACCATTTGATGTACAAAGAAACTGATTTACATTCCTAGTTTCATAACCTGAGTGTGAACAGTTCACATGAGGTCCTAGAGAGCTGACCTCTCATTTGCTTTTGTTGCCATTCATAATAAATCCTAGAATAAGCTGTGCATCAGTTTTTCATTTGTGCAAAAACGAAACGTGACTTTCAAAAGGAAAAACCGTTTTCTAGTTTATGGATAACTCCTACCCAGATTCAGGATGTCACTGTCTCTTGTACAAAACGTCCTGAACTGTGGGACAAGAAAAGCAGCAGCTCTGGATCGCATGACCAGGTGATGTGTGTGTTTTTACACAAACAAAGAGAAGATAAACAAGCTCAGTGTACAGAAATAACCAAAACACACACACAGTGTGGGGCAGAGGGTCAGCTTCGGCCAAAACAATAATATAAAGTCTGCTTTGCTCACTCTGATTTTAGGATCTGATGTTAATGGCGTCATACACCATGCTCATCAACATTATAAACTCACACCACATGCTAAATTAGCTCAGTCATCATGCCTACCTGTGTTTTTTCCATTAGGTGGAGAAGTCTTAAATGCCAGAAGCTTGTGGATTTTAGACTAGAATTAAACACACTGCAATCATCACATCACAAGAAGCTCTTTTAAATAAGGTCATGGACGACGAATGCATCCCAGACCATGATCTTCATCCATGTTGTTGCTCTCTGGGTCACATCACGTGGAACACTCCCACCAGATGCCTTCCTGCCACAGCGCTGATTTGTTTTGTTCCGACACTTACGTCGTTGAGTCGTCATTGATCCAGCAGACATGGAGTAATGAGACCGTTTTGAAAATGTGAGTAGAAAGTTCAGATATTTCTGCTCAAACACGGGGCGTTAAAGTAAAACGTAGTCAGAAAAATTAATACTCAATTAAAGCACAGATATCTGAAAAAGCTACGTCAGTAATGGAGTAGCCTATTTCTACTTTATTACTTCCCACCTCTGCAACAGACTTTCCACATTCAGGTGTGACACGCCCTCCAGGTGAGGCGCAGAGACTCGTGGAGTGAGAGGGATGACACGAAGATGCAGCTGGCCCAGACACAGGACATGGAGTCCACCGAGACAGCAACATCATGAGACACAGTCCCTAGTGGTAGACAGACTGTCCAGTGCAAATGTTCAGGCCAGAGATTCTCCTTTGTCTCCATTTTTTCTCAAGAGGAAATCAGGATTGATGCCAGAGACACACCAACTGACTCTAACCCTAGATACAACTGTGGTGTTTCTGCACACGTACGGGTGTCTCTGTTCCACCCTTGGAGAAAGTGTGCAAGTGAGGCTTCGAGTGCGTGGTACACAAGTGTGCAAATATTTACCGACTTGGTACAGGGAGCATTGCTGTTTGCTTTGATACTTTAAAAAAAACAACCTTTATTAACATCTTTCAAACAACCAAACTACTACTTGAAATAAATTCACATTTCTTGCATCAATTCGGAGCATGAACTAATCATCCTAAAATGAACAACTTTCATTAGAAAATACGAATTTTCAGAAAAGGCACTTGAGCCTTTTCTCCTGCAGCAATGGATTGTGGGTAATACCCTTGCACTTGAGAATCAGAACACCCTGTGCACTCTTCTGCTTCCGGCTCTTGGAGAGTACAGACGCTTTTTTCTCCTCTCCCTCCCTCCTCATCCCAAGGCTCTTTGCCTTGTCCTTGTGTGCACGGCGCTTTCTGCATTTTTTCTGGACACTGGACATGATTAAAAATGGATTTGGTCAGTTGGTCTCTCAACGCGATTGACAAAATTTTTTCAACGATGAGAACGGGAGAAGGGGCTCCCGGATGCCCCTCTGGGACAGAGCCAGCTGGGTGTATCATGGACTTTAGGTTCAATCTGAAAATGAGAGCCCTTATTTGTAACGTCTGACAAAACTAAACCAGTAAGAGTTATTATTGTGAATATTACAGTCACTGAGATCTGCGGCTGTTTGGTTGTTATCAACTAAAAACACAAACAGGAATCAGCTGAGTGATGCGTCGCTCTAACAACAGCTCGCTGACTGGGGTCAGTTACACACCTACTGTATGATGGATTTATGTAAACGTTTTAAAGCCGTCAGGTTTCTGCTCTGGTTTTCTGTCAGCTCAGAAACATCTGGAACAGAAAACGTCTGGTAGGAAGAATTGAACACATTTGGTGATGAAAAACATCAGCTGTGAGGTTCGCGATGGAAATAAGACGTCCGTCACACCTGTGTGATGTCTGACTACAAACACAGGAGCAGGTTCCTGGAGACGAAGCTGTTTTTATCCTTCGGCCACGTGGCTGCAGATAAAAGAATTACAGCTGATGGGTTCAGTCAGGAGGACCCTGTCGTCTCTGGTGATCAGGACTAAAGACGTCTGTGAGAAACTGTAACATCTCAGGTGAGTCTGATTTATTTTATTGTCTTTAACTTTTGTTTGTCCTTCCTTTGCAGATTTAATCGTGTTTCTCTTCTTTAGTTTCATTGTTGCTGTTTAGACAAAAGCTTCAGTGAAGCAGAAGAGACGTTTCATTATATAACAGATGTTACCCAATGGTTTGGACGCAGTTACTGCCTGTTTTAGCAGGATGAACAGATTGTGGTGAAACAGTGACTTTATGTGTTCCTAACAGTCAGATTGGTGAACAATGATTCACTGATTCACTTCGACATCACCAGAGAAGCCTGGACAGGAACAGGTTGAGGTGTTGCCCCCGATCCAATAAACTCCAGCTGTTCTGATCTTAGATAGAGTCGGGATCAGGATGGGCAGTGTTGGGAATGTTCGTTTTATAAATGAACTAGTTCAAAGTTCAGTTCAGACATTTTTAAAGGAACTAGTTCAGCTCATTGTTTATAATTAAAAAGGAAAGTTATGGAACTTGAGTTGGCTGTGCAGTGGCACAGTGGTTAGAGCTGATGCCTTGTAGCAAGAAGGTCCTGGGTTCGCTTCCCGGCCTGGGATCTTTCTGCATGGAGTTTGCATGTAATGCATGCGTGGGTTCTCTCCGGCTTCCTCCCACAGTCCAAAAACATGACTGTTAGGTTGATTGGTCTGTCTAAATTGTCCTTGATTGTTAGTCCTGTGTGTCTCTGTGTTGCCCTGCGATGGACTGGCTCTCTGTCCAGGGTGTACCCAGCCTGTTTGCCCATTGACTGCTGGAGATAGGCACCAGCCCCCCCCCCCACCCCCACCCCCCACCCCCACCCCCACCCCCTCACCCCCACGGCGACCCTGCGTGGACAAAGCAGGTTCAGAAAATGGATGGATGAACTTGAGTCATAAAGTGCAACAATTAGCACAATAATATTACAGTTTTCCCAGCAACACATCGTTATTTCAAACTGGAATGAACCAGAATAAACTAAGAAAATGTATCGAGTGTGACCTTTGGCCTGCTGAGCTGATAACTCCTCACCTGTGTCTCCTCCCACAGGGAGAAGATGATCTGCAGGATCCTGCTGCTCATCATCCTCAACTCCTGTCTCTGTGGTCAGTTTCCATCTTCAGTCTCTGAAGTATGAAGAAGTTTAGCCTGATTGAGTTTTTTCTTAGATTGTGGTTGTTGGGGGTTATAGGTCAACAAATAATTTGTAAGCTTTTACTTACTTTTTGGATTCATCAATAAATTCGTAAATATGGAAATATTTACCAATTTATTAATTAATTAGGATATCCGGAGATATCCACGGGGCACCACCCCTTCTAACAGGGGAAATGAATCCAAACCTCTTATCAATTCTGTCTGAAGTTCGTAAAAATCCTTTTAGGAGCAGCAATTAATTATTTCATCCAACACCAACAAATTCACTTTGAGACAAAACTTAACTGAATAACATTTATTAACTAATATGATCACTTCAGCTCCTTCTGAAGCGTTTAGCCAATCAATATCAACCAACTTATTTTACCAACAAACAATTAAAATAATGAATAATAATAATGTGACGTGACAATCTGATATGGGGTAATCAAAATGGTGTTCAAGTGGCTAGGATCTCCGAATGGAGTGGCTTTGTGTGTGTGTGTGTGTGTGTGTGTGTGTGTGTGTGTGTGTGTGTGTGTGTGTGTGTGTGTGTGTGTGTGTGTGTGTGTGTGTGTGTGTGTGTGTGTGTGTGTGTGTGTGTGTGTGTGTGTGTGTGTGTGTGTGTGTGTGTAAGCTGAGATGATGTCCAAGATGGCTGATGGCTGGAGCAAATCAGACCAGATCCGATGGCGTTTTTGGTAGGAGAAGGAAAGCCGTCTGGTAATTTGAAGCAAATCGTGCGGTGTGACTGCTTATTTCGAACTATATTAAGAGGAGCGGAAGAAAGAGAAATAGAAAAAAAAAACAAAAGCTTGCGTGAGCGAACCCCCAAGGCTTCCCTTTTGTGTTCGCGCTGCAGGTCAGATGGTTTCTCCGTTGATTTGATGGTTTTCCGCTGTTTTCCAGCCAGGCCTCGTGCCTGAGTCCGGAGCCGTAGCAACAAGCGTCCTTCTCCGCCAGTTGAACTGGACAAAAGAACGATAAGTTTCGTTTTTCGCTGAGATTTATAGCTTTCAGCGTCCGGCGGGGAAACTGTGTGGCTCCCGCACATGCGCAGAACTTGTTTCCGGATATTCGGCGCCGCTTCCGGGAGCAGGGAATCCTGGGAAATGAAGTTGTAGCTGGCGCTGACTTTTAATATCTGCTTTTCAGAGCGCAGATGACACAGTCTTTTGGAGAAAATACTGAGTAGCAATTTCTCATGAGGGCAGACCCTCAACATGGTTCTTCTCCTCTAGATGGAGTTTAAAGACTCCCATGTTCCAGTTGTCAGTGTGTCTGCTCCTCTTTTCCTCTCTGTCTCCTCAGCAGCAACATTTGTAGTCAATGTGACACAGAGCTCCTATCAGGCAGAGGAGAACCACAATGTCACTCTGGAATGGACCTTCACCACCACACCTGGTACATCCTGGACTCACCTGTTCATCCGCTGTGAGCTGACGACTGATCACAGAGCATCAGTCCTGTATCAGGTCCACGAAGGCGTTGAGGTGTCAGAGTCTCAGGATCAACAGTTTGCAGGACGAGTCCAGAGTGACAAAGACGTCCTCAGAGAAGGACGACTCAGACTTCATGTGTCCAGACTCAGACCTGAAGACTCTGGTCTCTACCTGTGTGAGGTGAAAACAGATTACGGCTCCAGCGTTCAAAACTGTCGACTCAGCGTCTCAGGTGAGAGGCACTCTTTAAACATCTCTTTGTGTTTATTTCACTCACCAGTCAGACTCTTTACTGCTCATCCTTCTCTGTTCCATCTGCTCCTCAGCAGCAGCAGATCAGCTCCACACTCGGAGACCTCTGACTCCAGAACCGGGGAACCACACGTGGATCTACCTCTTCATTGGACTGATACTGACACCGGCTGCAGTGTCGCTGGTGTTGAAACTTAAAAAGTCTTACTACAGGAAAAAGAAGGGCCAGCAGTCTTATAGAAACTCCAGACTAAATCAGAGAATAAGAACTTAATGTAAATAAAGCTTTTATATGATTTTTCACCTTTGATGTTTGTGAAATCCTTCATCTGACGTGCATTTTGTAAAAATGTAAATAATCTAAATTAAATTTTTATTGACAGCATCTGTTTTGCTCTCATGAGTAACCTAGGTGATGGACTGACTCGGTTGACAGGTTCTGGTTCCAGAGGAGATTGAAGCTCACAGCTCTGACAGCTACAGAACCTTCTGGTCCAAAGAGGGTTCTTCAGAGAGACGAGCTGCTGATCGAACCGCAGCTGATCTGAGTTCTCAGATGATGACTGAAACCGGCGTGAAGAAAAGAACATTTATTATTTAGCAGTAACACAAGGAAGAGCTTGACCACCATTTAAATAATCCCAAAAATACTAATCTTTAGTTTTTCACTAAAGAAAACGGGCGGAGGTAGGGGCAGCCATCAGAAGCTGACCTGCTGCTGTGACCTCCTGAGGCTCTGCCACGGCTGCTGACCATCACACAGGAACAGGAGGTTCATTTTAGAGAACCCTAGATGTGTTTAGGCTGTTTGTCAAACTAAACAAAGACCCCAGTCATCACAAAAGTGTGCACGACTTCCTGTTTTATAAGAGTTCACAAACAAAACGGCTCATTTATGGGTCAAAATATGTTTTTATTTACAGTTGAAATACAAAAACAACAAATACGATTTTTCTGGACCCTCTCCTGGGGTCCAGCTGTAAAAGCTGCTTCACTAGTAGAAGGATGAGATTTCAGTTGTACATCACAGTTGATTCAATGCATGAACATGGATGTGGAGTGGAAACAGCCTGGAGAGTTCTGCTAACACTCCGCACAGAAGCTGCATCCTATCTGGCTTTCATCTGGACTCTTTCACTTTTTCTTATTTGTGTAGAAAAAAAACAAAAATCATCAGCACCACCAGTCCCAGACCAGAGTAGACACCGATCATCCACACCTTCATCTCCTCACGCTTAGACTACTGTAGAGATATAAGACACCACCTTGTGTCAAATTTTTTGACAGGTCTATTGTTCTTTGACCTTTTTGACCTTTCCCCCAACCCACCGTTCGTCAAACTTGACAGGAGTATTGTCTGTAGTCCCTTTTGTGATGTGATCTTTAATGACCCTGTATGTCAAGAAATGAATGTTGTGTAATGACGCATGAAGTCTCCTTTTGTCTGAACTGTTTTAGTTAAGCCTGATAACTGTTTTTGTGTTACCCCCTCCTTTCATACGTGAGAGCCCACGGCCCTCCCTCCAGCCCTGCTTGGCTTTTTAAAAGCTCGAATCCATTTCAGCGGACAGACTGAGATCGTATCAGAATGGTGAAAGGCCGAAGAAATACCTCTAAGAAAATGGTGAAGCAAGAGTCTACAACCTCTACCTGAGAGGAAAAGGAGGTGAAGGAGGAGAGCCAAGAGGAGAAGGAAGAAGCGTCTACGACCGATGCTTCAACCTCTAAACGAGAGAGCGTGGACACACCGTCGCCGCTGTCACAGACCTTGCTCTGTGGTAAATCCAAAGCGATCCATTAGCTGCCCGCAGGAGGTGGTGCTCCCCGCAAATCTACAATCAAATAATAATAATAATAATAAATGAATCTCTAACTTTTGATGTTTCTGTTTTAAAATCCTTCATCTACTGACATTTACTGTGTATAAAATGTATATATTGTACATAAAATGTGATAAAGTACATGACTAATGGAGTGACCCAGTCTACATGAGGTTCTGGTTCCGGAGGAGAAGCGACAGAACCATCTGGAACATGAGAGCAGCTGCAAGAAAACATGAATCCTGTAAAGTTAACATCAAACTCAGAGTTTTGTTGCCTGATTAGAAAAAAAATCATCTGAGCAGCTTCAGATTTTATTCTCAGTTTATTTAGTGAAGTTGTTTTATAAATTCTTATTTTTATTATTCAGTTTAAAATGTGAAACAAACGGCTCCATCTTCTGGACAGCAGAGGAACTGCACACCAGCCCTGATGATTCAGCTCCATCTGAGTTTTAATATTTTACATAATATTTTGGTTTCTAGATGTTTTGTTAATTTAACATCGTTGATTTTTTTTGTCTGAATGAACAGATTCTGTTGTTGCTGTTTAACCAAGAAAATCAATAAAGATTTAGAAAAATCTGATTTTATGAAGAACAAATTCTTATTTACAGCTGTGGCCTGGCACAAGGCAATGCCTTTAAATAAATACTTAGACATTATTTAACTGGTTCATTATGTAGCGTAAGAAAGCCTTTTATGTCACAGCTCGGCAGACATTGAAGTGTCCAGCAGAGGTCTTCTGCCCAGAATGCTGTGTGCCTTTCATACATAACAAATTCCTTGTCTAACATTCCTAGCCCTGCCATCCGGGGAAGCCGTCAAAAGAATCCCAACTTCCTTATTTTGTTGCCAGTCCCCACATGCCAAAGACAGTGGCAAGAAACGGGGTCAAAAGGTGGGCCACAGAGATAAGATTGGACCCACACTGAAACACTGAACTTGCTTATGCGAGTAAAATCAGCCAGAAGACAGGAGCCCAGCTGCACAACAAGCATCCAAGCTGGGAGCAAAATTGGGCAAAAGGTCAAGAAGTGTCTGACTCAACCAGTAGCGGTTTTAGGCACGGGCAGACAGGGCAGTTGCCCGGGGCGGCATTTTTTCATGACACAAAAGGGGCGCACAAGCGCTGAGTAAAAAAAAAGAAAAAAAAAAAAAAAAGAAATCTGCACCGCACCGAGGTTTTCTATTATCTGTCATATGACAGTGTCTGGATTGGAAACAGCAAGTTGGCGCCCCCTGCAGCTGCAGGCGCTCCTGTTGACTGAGGACGTTCACGTGCACCGTGTGTGTATGAAGAAGAGGAAGGGGAGGGGTGCGGCGGGGGCATGGACGTAATTTTCACTTTAGAAGTGGGGGGGACACGGGGGTGGGGGTATCTTTACAGTATGTTTTAATGGGAAACAGGCTTCAACACAAACGGTTGTTTTCTGCTTGGTCCTAGAGCTCAACCAGTGTCAATTTAAAATAAAGTAATATTGTTTTTGGATGGTAAAAAGTGCAGGGGTCAAAACTTGACTTTGGAAACAGTGGGGGGGACATGTCCCCCCTGTCCCCCCCAAAATTACGTCCATGGGCAGGGGAATTCACCTCTGCTTCTTTCCCAAATAAAATGAGCGGGTAGGGGCTGAATCAACTGTATCAACATGGCTAAAGTCAATCACATCTTGATGTTCTTCCATATTTCATTCATAATATCATAAACACAGACCTATCCTTCTTTCAGGTGTTTCTGAATTATGTGAAATGGCCGAATAAAAAAAGGAAAAACAAAACAATTTTGTGGTCCCCCCCCCCCGGTCAAGGTCAAATTGTTTAGTCCTGACTAAAGGAAACTTATTGAGTCAAGAGCCAAACAGAAGAGATGAACATAAAATCAATCAATCAATCAATCAAATTTTATTTCAAAGCGCTTTTCAAACAAAGTGTGATTCAAAGTGCTTTACAAAATGACCCCAGATTCCCATAACAGATTAAAAACATTAACAGACATATGCAAGCACACGCACACGCACACACACAAGTAAAAATTATATTAGGCTGAGTCCAGATGAGCCAAGTGTGGTAATGCAAGGAAACGCCATCAGAGGAGCCGTCTGTCCCGGCAGCATCAGGTCTTCCATACTAAGTCAGGGCGCTCAGTGGAGGGGGAGCATAGACCCCCACCTATAGAGCGCCCAGGAAGCTACAGTCGACCACCGCTCTCGGGGCAGAGGGCCCCCGCAGAGGAAACACTGGATTAAAATGAGTAAAAATGTAATATAAGAGCTAATATAAATGACAAGGCTAAAACCACCAGGTGCCCGATTCAGGAAGAAAAAAAAAAGAAAAAAGAGGAGAAAGATAAAGGTATGTACGCTGTCATGATGCATGTTTTCAATTTTTTGAACCAGTTAACTGGGATTTTAACGGTTAAATTCGGTCAACTAATTGCTAACAGAGCTAATAGGGCTGAAATATTTGAAACGAATATTCAAATGGTTCGAAAAAATTCCTTGAATCGTTTTTCACTGATTCAAACTAGAATTTGTTAAATGCTCGCTGCAGCCTGCCTGAACAACAAACACATGTTGATCATGTTCACATAATAATAAATAAAACAACTCTACAAGCAGAAAAAAACTCCCCAGTCACCACTAACTATCCTGTTTATTTATGGCTGATGGCTGCACTGATTATTTTTTACATGATTTGTTCTGTAAAAGTTGGCATTTTTGTTAGTCTACAGTTTTTTTTATGTCAGTTTAAATTACAATTTCAGAGGCAATTCTAAAATATTATGGGTCATGATAAAGATCTGTATGCAAGAAACAAAAATTATCCATACATTCATATTTAAATCTGGAGTCCTGTAGTCTGTTTAATTACATTGTTACTGTAAACTTATTCTTTCAATTGTGTTTTTCCCATTGAAAGGCATTTAATGATATGAATCAACCCCCAATCTCCTCTGCTGGAGCCTGAGGCGGGGTGCTGCACCCTGGATCCGACCCAGGTTTCAGCTCCCCTGCCCCGCAGGGAGGGTTTGAAACACCGCCATCACCTGCTGGAGCCTGTGGCGGGCCGCTGCGGCCCGGATCCGACCCAGGAATGAGCTCCCCTGGCCTGCTGGGAATTAAAAACACACCGCTAGGGCTGACAGCGGGATGCTGCGCCCTAGACCTGAGTCCGACCCAGGTTTAAGCTCTCCCCGCCCGCTGGGAGGGTTAAAGATCCAGCCATTCTCTGCTGGAGCCTGTGACGGGGTGCTGCGGTCTGGATCTGACCCAGATTTAAGCTCCCCTGACCCGCTGGAAGGGTTTGAAACACCCCCATAACCTGCTGGAGCCTGTGGTGGGCTGCTAGGGATAAAACACTGATACCACCAACAAATAATCAGTTGCCGGACAATAGGCACAACATACATATGCTTATATAAGTTAGCAGGTGTGTAGCAAGTACGTTAGCAAGTGTTTATTTTAAAAGCAATAAAATTAAATATCTGAAAAATAATTAGTGGTAATCATTTTATTAACCCCTTAAGCCCACTAGGCCCCATTTTTGGGAGCACGCCTCCTACAGCAACATTTCAACAACAGGCACTAACAGTGGGTCTAATGCGAGTGAGTATATTTATGATTTTTATTGCTTCTTTACAATGAAAAGCAGCTGATGTGTACTTTTTAGGCATATTTATATGTGCATATATGTATTTCATATATTCTGTTAACAGGAATAATTGCTGGCCCTTTGACACAAAATGTAATGATTTTGAAATTACTAAAATATTTTGAATTAAGTATACAATTCACAAGACTAGTAAACTGATATTGACCATACACTAATCTTTAAAAAATATACTGTAAACACAAAAGTAGAAAAGTTTTGCTTTAGAAAAAAAGTTCAGACAAATGAAACAACCAGCAATAGCTTTTATTGGCCTTACAAATACCCTGTAAATAAAAACATTTGTGGATGCAACTACATCATGAAGTTAGCTTAACATGATAGATTATTATTCTTAGCAGGAAATAATAACTGGTAATATTATGAATGACATGATATTGCCCACCCCTAGATGGAATTTAAATCATTTACATTCATTATAATTAAAAGTTCATGTAAATCTTTACGACCGACAGACAGACAGACAGATTGTCATGATTCCAGGAAGCTTCCTGACCCACATGAAAGAATCACCACAGGCAGGAGGTAAGAAATACAAATATGGTTTTATTAAATGAAAAAATAAATAAACAGAGGACGCAGCTCCAAACGGGTGCTGGGAAAACCAACGGGAACTAAGGGCGCAACTTCAACGAAGCAGGAACCGGGCCGGGGTCTAAAAATTAAAAAAAACACGGAGATCAAACCAGGAACGAGAGAACCAGATATAAATAGAGGAAAGGGAGATCTTACAGAGCCTGAACAGAGGATGGATGTGAGGAGAGGGTTGGTCAGGTCTGGTCGATGGAGGAGTGGGATGAGGCAGGAGGGATGTGGCTGACGGGGATCCAGGGCAGGTGGACAGCGGAGAGCAGATGACCAGGGGAGATGAGTGACGATGTTGGCATACACTGTCCAGGGAGCAGAAAACTCAGGCTGAGATCCGGTGGTTGATCTGGAGGCAGGACAGACAATTAAAAACAGGATAAGCAGGGCAAGATTGCAAAATATTACAAAGTTCAGGATGAGGCTGGAAGCTACCCAGGTGAGAGTATCAACCGGCGCTGGAGTGTGGACACGCCACTCAAATACCCTGGCCTTGCTGATGGGAAATCAGCAGCAGCTGAGGCTCTCCGACACGCCCACCTGCAAAGAGACTCAGAGGGAAAAAAACTGCAGGATCGATCGATCGATAGATAGATCGATAGATCGATAGATAGATAGATAGATAGATAGATAGATAGATAGATAGATAGATAGATAATAGTGTGAAGAAGTTCAGGAGAGTTGAATGTTACATTTTCCTCACCAAAAGAAAATTTGTATTAAACAAAGGCCAGTTCCCTCTTCAAAGTCGGATGTACGGACGAGGATTAGGGCCACTGAAAAGAAAGAAAAGAAAGAGAATTCTGACTTATTTCCGAGAATTCCCTGTCAGAATTCTGAGGTTAAAAGTCAGAATTCTGAGAAAAAAGTAAGAATTATCTTTCTTTTCTTTTTATTTCGTTGTCAGTGGCTCTAATCCTCTTCCGTACAGAGTAGAAATAAATAAATAAAGTCAATATGAATACCCCCCAAAATGGTCGGCAAATTGTCCGCTCCCAACCCCGTCTCACTCTTTGAAATGTTCAAAAGTTGGTAGCCCTGGCACACTATGTTTTAGTCCAGGTTTGAAGAGTCTAGACGTTGTAGTTTTATAATAAGAGTCAACTAAATGGGCGTTGGGTGGAATTGCTCTTTTCGAAACGGTAATCCGGAAATGGGAGCCTATTTCAGCTTCGTGAGGACGGATTGGTTTGTAGCTTGTTGACTACCTTACTCCGGAACCACAGAGTTTCTTGCGTGGGGGCTCGGGGTGTGGGGGCGGCGGGCCCCGTGTGGGGATCTGGGCAGGGACTTGGGGAGGAGGTCCTGACTTGTATGCTACCAGGAAGTTGGCAGGAACAAGCAGCAGTGCATGGCCCAGGCTCAAGGGTCTCAGGTGGACCTGGCTCCTCTGGAATAATAACAACTCTGTCCCATCACTGGGGAGGGGGATGTCCAGGAGTGGGAGGACCCAACCTTGCCTGGATGTTTCGTGTATTCTGGAAGTTGTTCAAATGTAGGGATGGGAGTAGATATTCTGCTGGGGTGGGGCTAGGTTGGTGCCCTCATACTCCGTGGGGCACTGCGATGCTGCTGCTTTGGGCCCTGGCGAGATGGGCTGGGGTCTCCGTGCCTTGGGGGGCATTTTGGGAACAGAGGTGCCTATTGGGGCGAGTGGGAGAGCTGGCTCCCTGGAAGGCTTAGGCCAACCATGAATTAAATTAATCGATAAAGTAAAGAATAAATAAATCTGGTATATTTGTGCCTTTTTATATTGATAATCTAAGGTTATCTGCATCAATAGGACTGCCAATTAAAGTATAAGACTGTGTAAAAGAAGTTAATTTACATCTAATTAAGGACCCGTGAGATTTTAAGATTCCATAGTGAATATGAAATCAATCTTACGGATCACTGACTTATTAAACCAGAAGATTGGAACTTTTTATTGCAGGGATTTTGTAACATTTTGTATTAACTGAGAGACAAGAGAAGAATCAGACCTTTAAAACGTTTAAGATGATTTATTTCTAAACAATTCAAAGAATTTTAAACAAGAATAACTCTCCTCTAATGATGGATGGATCTGGTGTGAATAAGATGTGAGATGGATGGTGTATGTGTGAGTGGTGTTATTATCAGAACTCTCGTATCCGGAGAAGCAAGTCTGAATGATGTAATGATGTTTTGCTTCTAGCTACGATCAGAGTTTGACCGGAGTTTCATAAACACATGAGACGCCATATTGCTGCTCCACACATACCCTTCAGAATGAGACTTCCGTACAGATCCAGAATGCCAGGTCCTCGGACCCTCCTTTGGTACTGGAGCCGATGGAACAGCGTCAGCAGTACGACAAACTAGTCTTTGGATTGTCTCCAGGTAAAAAGCGACAGGTGGTTCACAGCGTCAAAAGGGACCCTCCTTGGGTCAGTGAGTTCAGCTTTTATTCTGAAAGGAACCGTTGCTTGGTTGGTAAAATGCAACAGATTTTATCCAGCTTGTTGGTTCTTTGCTTAAAAAGGAAGTCCGGATGGCCGATCCGATACTTCGTTTAGCATGCGGTGATCTCCAGTGAGATCTTGAGAACTGAACTTAAGATGGCGTGGGAACTGGTTTTATTAATCTGGATGTTTTGAATTCTGGTCAAATCAAAGTCGGCAGATTTATAAACACCACAGAGACTGTGCCACGCTTCAGAAAGGAAGGTTCTGATTGGATCAGTAACAGCAATGTGTCATGCGTTTACATTACGTTTATCAGCATGTCTAGTGAGCTAGATTAAAGTCATTTACTTACAAAAGCATATTAATCATAACATTGTTATTTCACAGATTGGTCAACATTATATTATTGACTAACACTTGTTTGATTAGCTTTATTAAAAATAAAGTTCTTTGATGTATTAAGAGTCCTTTATCTTTATTCTTCTCTTGCTGGAAAGACAACAGTTTTAGAAGCGAATGCATGACCTTGAGGCAGTCTCATGCACTTAGTACAGTGTCAGAGGCATCTGTGGAGAGAGGGTAAATAACCTTGGAGGAATAGCTCCATCACGTTACAACTGACATGAACTCATTAAATGCCACTGATGAGGAAAGTCGTCATTTTAAATCCAACCGTTCACTGCCGTTGACGACTAAATTAGTCATTTGTATATTTTACTGTGTGGGCGTCAGATTCATCATAGGGCAGTGTTCTGTGACTCTTAAAAAAAAACTGTAAAAACACTGAAAAAAGCTGGCAGCGCAGAGCTTTTCTGATCGGGAAACGGCTGGCCTTGAATGAGTTAAGAACATGAAAACAACAGAAACACTCATAATTAAATGGCTGCTTTATTCTCTGTGTGAACTCTTGAATGTCTGCTTTAATGTCCCTTTTGACTAAATCTTTGTCCACAGAGCTCACACGCCTGTGTGTCCTGTGTGGACTCTCATGTGTTTGTTTAATGTTGCCTTTTCAACAAACTTTTTTCCACAGAGCTCACAAGCAAAAGGCTTCTGTCCTGTGTGGACTCTCATGTGTTTGTTTAATGTTGCCTTTTCAACAAACTTTTTTCCACAGAGCTCACAAGCAAAAGGCTTCTGTCCTGTGTGGACTCTCATGTGACTGTTTAAAGTTGCCTTTTGGCTAAATCTTTTTACACAGAGCTCACACGCAAAGGGTTTCTGTCCTGTGTGGACTCTCATGTGTGTGTTTAACGTGTTCTTTTGACTAAATCTTTGTCCACAGAGCTCACAAGCAAAAGGCTTCTCTCCTGTGTGAACTCTCATGTGTCTATTTAAATTATTCTTTTGACTAAATCTTTGTCCACAGAGCTCACAAGCAAAATGCTTCTGTCCTGTGTGGATTGTCATGTGATCGTTTAAAGTCGTCTTTTGGCTAAATCTTTTTACACAGAGCTCACAAGCAAAAGGCTTCTGTCCTGTGTGGACTCTCATGTGCCTGCTTAAATATTGCTTTAGGCTAAATTTTTGTCCACAGAGCTCACACGCAAAGGGTTTCTGTCCTGTGTGGACTCTCATGTGTTGGCTTAAACTTTCATTTACACTAAATCTTTTTCCACAGAGCTCACAAGCAAAAGGCTTCAGTCCTGTGTGGACTCTCATGTGCCTGCTTAAATATTGCTTTAGGCTAAATTTTTGTCCACAGAGCTCACAAGCAAAAGACTTCTCTCCTGTGTGGACTCTCATGTGTGTGTCTAAATGATGCTTGTGACTAAATCTTTTTACACAGAGCTCACAAGCAAAAGGCTTCTCTCCTGTGTGGACTCTCATGTGTGAGTTTAAATTTGACCTTACACTAAATCTTTGCCCACAGTCGACACAACTAAATGATTTTAGTTTGGTCTGGACTTTTCTGCATGAATCAACATGTTGCTTCTCTCTCACATGTTCCGTATCAAACAAAAAGCCTGAAGACCTCCTTGCTGAATGACTTTTAACTCTGTTATGTTTCTGGTGAGACCGCTTATGAAAAAACTGTTCATCACACTCAGAGAAGCTAAAGGATTTGTTGACAGTCTTAACATCTGACTCAGTAGACCTGGTCTCATTACTATGCAAGTCTCCATATCCAGTTTCAGGCCCAGAGTCTGACAGTTCAGAGTCTTGATCCACATCATCGCCACTTAGTTCAGTCTCTGAAGAATCTGATGTCTGTTTATGAGGGTTCAGATCTGAGTTCCTGCTAGTTTCTGCTCCTCCACCAGTTTCTGCTGTCATCTGATTGGTTATAACAACGCTGTCTTCTGTTTGAAGCAGATGAAGCTGTGAGAACTGAGGTTTCTCTTCATCCTCCTCACTCTTTATACAAGATGCAGCAAATGGAAAT